AAAATGGGATAATTGTTTGGAAAAAAGCAAGATTGTTCACACAAGGATACAATAAAGAAGAAGGAATTGATTTTGAATAAACCTTCTCTCCAGTTGCAAGGTTAGAAGCAATTAGATTATTATTGGCTTACACTTGTTCTATGAATTTTCAGCTTTTCCAAATGGATGTCAAGAGTGAATTCTTGAATGGATACATCAATGAAGTCTATGTCAAACAACCTCCTGGTTTTGAAGACTTCAAGAATCCTTCACATGTCTTCAAGTTGAAAAAGGCACTTTATGGCTTAAAACAAGCACCAAGGGCATGGTACGATTGACTTAGCAATTTTCTATGCGAAAAGGGACAAGTGGACAAGACACTTTTTATCAAGAAGATCAATAATTATACTCTACTTGTTCAAGTGTATGTCAATGATATCATCTTTGGATCAACAAATAAAGACTTATGTGAAGAATTTTCATCCATGATGCAAGGAGAATTCAAAATGTCCATGATGGATAAATTGAACTACTTTCTTGGATTACAAATCAAGCAACTTGCAATGGAGACTTTTATTCATTAATTAAAATATTGTAAAGAGTTATTAAAGAAACTTGATATGGATGCATGCAAATCTATTGCCACTCCAATGGGTTCGGGAACTTAAGTGGATCTTGATGAAGCCGGTGTGCCCATAGACGTGTCAAAATATCGATGGATTATTGGCTCCCTATTATACATAACGGCAAGTTGACTCGACATCATGTTTAGTGTATGTATTTGGCGCTATATTTCAAGCCAATCCAAAGGAGTCTCACCTTGCTTCAGTTAAACGCATTATGAAATATCTTAAGGGAACTGCGGACATCGACTTATGGTATGCTAAAGGTAGTATGTGTTCTTTACTTGGTTATTCTGACGCAGATTATGCAGGATGTAAAACAGATAGAAAAAGAACTAGTGGCACGTGTCATATTCTTGGCAACTCTCTAGTATCATGTGTCGTACCCCCAAAATTGTCTTATCCCGATGGTTTCATTTTTCAAGATTTAAATAGAAGAAATATTTAATTAAAGGTGGTACATTAGTATCTAATGGCCCATTCTTAAATTCAAGTCGACTATGGGGTGTATTCTAATTCAGGAGAGTGGGACTTTCTAAATCAGAAAGACTCATATATCTGTAGCCCCATTTAAGAAGCATGTTGGCCAACGGCCCATGCGATTCGAATATCGAAATTTATTTCAGAAATAATTATTAAGTTATTAAATTATTAAGTCCACTTAATTTTAAGTGGTTGTTAGTAAAGAAAGGGGGTATAATTTCCAATTACAGGCCCAAAGAAATTGAAAACATTGAAGTAGCCCATTCGATCTATTTTTGAAAATCATCCTATTATGCTTAAACATTATTTTGCTGTTTGTTTAGTAAAGCTGGACCCATTTGTCTTCTTGAATTTTACTGTCTCATGTCAAAAGGTAGCATTAATACTAAAATTGTTTTAATAAAAAATAAACAAAATATATTTTTTCTTTGTTAAAAACACAATATATTTTTAGTACGGACAAACTTTTTACAAGAATGTTATTGTTAAACTCTTTTAATAATGTTTCATTAGTCATTAAATAAAATTTGTTTATTTATTAAAAGCTTTTAGTTAAATAATTAGCATTGGATTAGAGGCCAATTGGGCCTAGCAATGTTAGAGAATGTTTTTTTTTGCTGTAAAAAAATATAATATAGCTGAATCAAATTAATTTAGTTGGGCTGATGATAAAATAATAGCGTAAAGGCCCAAGTGTTAAAGAAACAACTACTATTCCAATCTATCAATAATTAGCGCAGGTTTTGCAACTAACAACAACTGTTCAAATTGAAAACTAATCAAATCTAAAAACGCAAATTAAATCCAGGAAATAGCAGAAAACTAAATCAAATACCAATTTACAGCAATCAAATTTAGAAATTGCTAAATCAAATCTATATTCATATATTACAACAAAATCCGAAATTTACATCAATTGCAGTCAATCATAACATATTTGCAGAGATTGAATCAATTACATATGACAAATCTAATTACTCAATCAATTACCTAAAATATGGGATCCCTAATTTGTTCCTAAACCCTAAATCTAAGCAAGCCCAAACAGAAATCCGTAAAACCTTAAAATTTGAAACCTATAAATACAAAAAGAAAATTTGAAGAAGGGAGGAGGATAGATGGAGATACGGAGACAAAGACAGAGGTCGATTACAATGGCCGGAGCTCAAATGCAAAAACGAAACAAAAGTGAAGAACAAAGAAGAGCTTGACTACCGGAGAGAAATTTGCAGAAGAGAGACCTCGGGGTTGTTGAAGATTGAATGAGAGGCAATTAGGGTTTCAATATCTAAACCCTAACTGCTTGACTGCACCGTCGCCTTCGCCACCATCGGTCAAAGAACACAGAAAGATATTAGTTGGGAGCCAACTGAAAGCTTGAAGTCAGAATACAAAGAGCGAAAAGGGTAAAATAACTTTGCTTTTGTTTTGTCCTAATGTTAATTTGGGGTTATTGGGTTTGATTGTGCTCTAAAGGGAAGGGTTTACTATTGCACCACCGCGGAGCTTGCTTTAGGATTAGGGTTAGAAAGAAGAAGAGAAGGGTACTGGAAAGAGAGATACGAAGGGTGTTGTAAAAGAAAACGAGATAATGAAATAAAATGTGAAAAAAACTATTATGTTCTGTAAAAATTCACTACATGTGCACCCATAATACTTAGTATGTACCTTTAAATCCCATTCGTTTAATCATGATTGAACGGTCGTGAGGCCAAGTTCACCATAAACCCCATGCACCCTCGCCACGCACGGTCATTCAAGCCTCCCAAAAAAACTGCATTTGGGCCAAGCCCATTACGTTTAACACCCCTTTGTTTTGCTTGACAGTTCAAAGTTACACCCCTCAAGCTTATTGGGCCTGAATTCAATATCTGAATCCAGGCCCTGACTTTCTGCACCCCTACTCTTTTACTACTTAACATGAAACGCACCCTCCTCTTGAATTAATTAATTAAATTTGTTTTTTTTCTATTTTTATATTATATTTTCTTATTCCATTGTTTTTTTAATTATTATTATATAATTATTATCATTATTATTATATTAATTTTATTTTTACTAAAATGTAAATATTATCATGTAAATAAATTATTTTTATTTAAAACTCATGAATATATTATTTTCCACATATTGCATTAAATATTTTTGATCAAGCATTAACCAAGAATTTTTGCAATTAATATGATTAAAAAATACTAACAAATCTCAAACTATTTTTTCACAATCAACTAATCTAATCAACTATTTTTAGCAAAAGGGTTTCAAACAGATTTTGACTAACCGCACATTTAGCCAAAATCTCCGCAATCACTACTCCCGGCTAAAATGCGATGTGATTCAAAGTACGTTTGCAACCCCTAAAAAACACCAACCTCATACGAACTATGAATTGGGACTCTGATTCCTCATAAGAGGATACGTAGGCATACAATCAAAAATCGTAGCGAGTTCCCCTATAAAAAATTTAAACCCTTTCCCCTAATAAAATTTAAATCTTGTTTCCCCAACTCAAACCTAAAACCTAATATCCTTGTGAACAAGGTAGATGAAAGGTGCCTAACACCTTCCTTTCGTCTAAAGAAGTCCGAAACTTAAAATCTCTATCTGCGAATTAGGGTTTTTTGTTAGATTCCCTTCCCTAGGTTAAAAACTAATAGTGGCAACTTTGATTAAAAAACTAGTCGCAACATCATGGTCATGCAAGAAGCAAGCATGTGTGGCTCTTAGCACGGTTGAAGCAAAATACATTGTGGCTGAAAGTTATTGCGCTCAAATTCTATGGCTAAAACAACAACTACCACTACGCCGAAAAAGACTTACGAAAGCGCTTTTTTTTGGCATTTAAAAACGCTTAAAAGCGCTTTCTATGGTGGCGCTGCTATAGGTTTTAGCAGCGCTTTTTGTTTAATGAAAAGTGCTTTCGTAGGTCTACCTAATACAACACTTTTTCTAAAAATCGCTCTCTTAAGTAGGCTTTTGGCAACGCTTTTTTATGAAGAAGCGCTTTCATAGGTCTACCTAAGGCAGCGTTTTTTTCTGGAAAAGCGCTCTCATAAGTTTTCTTTTAGCAGCGCTTTTTTCTGGAAAAGCGTTGTCTTAGGTAGGATTTTAGCAACGCTTTTTTCTGGAAAAGCGCTTTCATAGGTGGTCTTTTAGCAACGCTTTTTCCTGGAAAAGCGTTGTCATATGTTTACCTTAGACAGCGCTTTTTGTGAAAAAGCGCTTTCATAGGTTACCTAAGGCAACATTTTTCTTGAAAAAGCGCTTTCATAGGGTGTTTTTTTTAGAGGTATAATTCATATACCTGCATTGTTTGCAGCATATTATTTATATAAACCAGTTGCCATAACCTGTAATTCATAAACCGCGGTAATGCATTGTATATCATTGTAATCCAAAATATATATACACTATTTTTGTACCTCAATATAAAAACCATTGTTATCAGCATTGTAACTCAAAATTAGTCTTACAAAATCAACCCTAACAACAACTAAACCAGTCCTAATGTATGAAAGAAACACGGTCAATTATGTATTAAGGTCCTGGTCCTGCGAGGTTTGAACATAATAACACGGTCAATATGGTATTCCATGTACACATGTAACATATTCATAACACTTTTCACATAATAATGTATGAACCTTATATAATTCTCTGCTCAATAAAATATTGACACAATTCCTCTTTGATTTCTTCCAACTGAAGTTTCGTGTAATATGCATATTTGTATTCATCGAAGTATTACATAACAAAACATAATATGCATGATTTAGTTAAAAGTAAAAAATTATATGAAATATCCGAGAAATAATAAAACAAATCCTAAGTTATAAATCCATACCGTGACTGAAATCTTTATTTGATTCAGTTGAATGATTTCTTTAATAAACCGCATAACGAAGTATCCGCAATCTATACCGTTTTGCTATTGAGGACACTACATAGAAAAACAAATAAGAATATATAGTTGTATTGTTTTATCAAATATCATAAATATTATAAGCAAAATAGTGGAAATTAATATACCTGCACTTTGATCCAATTAATGTTGTTTGATTTAGACAGTCTTCCAAATTTATCAGAAGAATTTTCTTGAGATCTCCAATGGTAGGAGAAACCGCATATAACAATGGACAATCTTTGAGTACTAGATTTTCAAGATTAGGCATGTTTGAAAAGTCAGGGCTTTGTGTGAGAAAGTGAGAATGACTAAGATTTAGAATTTTCAGCTTCACCATCCACTACAAGAAGATAAATATTATTGAGGAACTTAAGGAAGAGGCTTCAAAAAGTAAATAGAAAGGATTACAGTGCATCACTAACCATGAGATCGGAAAGTAAAACATTTAGATTAGTGTAGAGTTATTTTTTTTAAATATTAGTGGAAAATCTTTTTAAAAGGCAAATTTTTGCATATATATTGTATAAATTTCCTTATAGTATCTCATCCAATTATATATTGTTAAATGTTTACTAAAGTTTCATTATTAAAACAGGAACTAATAGTAAATAAAATTTATTTAGAGATTTAACTTGAAAAGTCATGATTTTTAAATTTAAATTCAAACATAACTATGAGAAGTGATAATAGCTCATGAAGTATGAAAAACAAAAATTAAAACACATACCAGAGTCTTATTCCCTAGAAGTTCAAGATTGCTATTCTTTAACTCAATGGAAACTAAATTTTCTCGATAGAAGTTTATAAGAATTTGACTTAATCCATTCCATGACAGCCATCTCAGATCTCTAGAAACATATTCAAAATCTCCATCAAGTGTTACCTCATCAAGTTGAAGGAGTCTGAGTCTCTCCATCTTCTCAAATGCTTTAGTACTAAAACATTTTGCATTAGCTCTAGGCAGCTTTAAAGCCAGTCCCAAAACACCTTCTTTTCCCTATAAAGTAAAATGAACCAAAAAGAAATAACATCAATACGGCGGGTATAAAACTGTCATGAATCCAATCATATATTACAGCTAACTAAAAGAAATAACATCAACAAGGCGGGTATAAAACTGTCATGAATCCAATTATATATTACAACTAAAAAAAAGTCAGGAAGCACAAAAAGATTCACCATCAAACTAATTTTTGACGATCTCTTAATAATCAACAAAACAAAAAGATATTGACAATTGAATCATAAATGTTTCTTTTAACTTCTTAAGCTCTAGATATTATGAATCCATAGTTCTAAGAAAATAGTATATATGAAGCTCTTACATTCTATCTTGATAATACGTCAACCACATCCTTGTGAAACCACAACCTACTACGTTCCTCAGGCCTCCTTGGTGATTCCTCACGAATGATTTCTCTTCCCATATCTCGCATTATTTCTCTCTTAGCATGTTACTTTTATGCACAACTTCTTAATAACTTCTATGAAAGTAGAAACCATGCTTGCTCAAAATCATTAACCAAACAAAAGCACACGAAAACCAGACAAACACATACGAGATGAGGAAAAAAATGAAACCTGATATGAATTGCAGTTGGCCGGAGAAGTGGAGCACCGTTGACCGCCGTAGAAGCTCTGGTTTAGGGTTTTTTCGTGAAGAAAATCTGACTGAGAATAGAAAAGTGATACGAATTGTGTTTTGATATTTATTATAAAACTACCTACGAAAGCGCTTTTAAAAGCGCTTTCTAAAGGTAATCTATAACAGCGCTTTTACATCAAAAAGCGCTTTCGTAGCATATCCTATAGCAGCGCTTTTAAAAGCGCTTTCTAAAGGCCAGCTTTAGCAGCGCTTTGGAAAAGCGCTTTCTAAGGCTGACCTTTAGTAGCGCTTTTGAAAAGCGCTTTCTTAAGGTACCCTCTGAAAGGCCAGCTTTAGCAATGCTTCCCAAAAAGTGCTTTCTAAGGGTGACCTTTAGAAGCGCTTTTGAAAAGCGCTTTCTTAAGGCACCCTTTGAAAGCGCTTTTTTAAGCGAATTTTTTTTAAAACCTACAGCAGCGCTTTTTTCCAAAAGCGCTTTCTTTTATGTGCTGCTAAAACTTATTTTTGGCATAGTGTACATGACTATAGAATTAATCTTGGATGCATCCCGCTAAAATATGACAATACAAGTGCAATCAACATCACGAAGAATCCAAGCATGCATTCTCGTACAAAGCATATTGATATACGACATCATTTTCTCTGGGATCATGTGCAAAATGGAGACGTAGAAATCTCATTTATTGATACACACAACCAACTAGAAGACATCTTTACAAAGCCTATAGCAAAAGATTCATTCTTCAATATTCAACGAGAACTTATTAGATGAACATGACCTATGATTTATATCTCTGAAACATAAAAGGTGCATGTATTCTTTTCATTAACTTTTATATTATTCTTACCAAGTATATCTCTCTTCATCCTACATTCACTTTGAATGGTTCTATGTAATGTTTATTTATATGTTTTAATGTCATATATATCTGTTATTATGTTGTTATACATGTTTGGTAGAAGTTACAATAAATAAGTATAGGTTCTAGAGTGGTATGTACTGTTTTTTCACTTTTTCACTATCAGTAACCGGTTACCATGCAAACAAAGGCGTTTTTAACTTTCCAAACACCTTTAGTAACCGGTTACCCATATCCTGTAACCGGTTACAGCATGAAGTTTTTCAAAATTTTGGTTTTGTAAAGGAATTTATGATTTCCTCCAATCAAGATGCACATCCTCCACTACTCACACATGACAGCGAAATATCAAATGAGATGATTTATCACAAACTTTGCTCAACGAAAAATTTCATGATTTCTGAATTTCGAGACATCCGTCAAGAATTGACAGGTCTTCAAACACCAATTCAAGAGGACTCTATGGTTGAGAGTGATGATGAAGAATTGTAAATGCTTTTGTACCTTTGTTTGTTGTTAATGTTCTTCCTATGTAATGTTTTTATCTTTTGCATTTTTTATCGTATTTCCTTCAGTATCGTTTATGTCTTCAAAGACCTGGTGTCCAATGTATTTTTAAGTATGCGTTCATTTTGTGTTTTATTATAAATTGTGTTATCTTTTACTTGTGTTTTATATTCTGTTTTATTATGGTCTTTTCCCCGTCCTTTTTGATATTGACAAAGGGGGAAAAGACATTGTGTGCTTGTGTTTAGTGATGCAGTTTTTTTTCCAGATTTTAAAGCTTCCTCTTTGAAAAACAAGTCTTCAAAGGCTACATAAATTCAGGGGGGGGGATATCCAACTTAGGGGTAGAATGCACATCACTATGATACACATACAAGCAACACTCAAAGACCTTGATGCACAAACTACAAATGTCAAATTGGTTGTCTACATCAAAAAGGGGGAGAATGTGATTGCATGCACTTCAACCAAAGTGTTTTGACGAGTACCACCATACATAAAATCAAAGAAATATCAAGGCTGTAGAAAAGAAGATATTCAAGATCATATAATATTTCAAGACCACTCTTTGAAGTCTTCTACATGTGTACAACCAACTTTCAAGATAAAGATTTATGAAGATTCATCAAGAAGTTAGGTACAAGTTTTAATTTGAGGTTTTTAAGATGATATAGTGATCAAAATATACTCTAAACATTTTACATAAGTGTTATGATCATTTAAGAGTAAAACATTACATGCCCATCACTTAGAAAATAAATTTTTATCACTTTCACTCAGTGGTAACCGGTTACAGGGATTTGCAAAAATAAAATAAGATTTCTGGTTCAGTGGTAACCGGTTACAGCTTTTAGGTAACCGGTTACATGTATGCAAGTTTGAAAATATACATGTTATCTCACATGTGTAACCGGTTACAACCCTATGGTAACCGGTTACCGCTGAAGAAAATTTCAAAAAAAAATCGGTTTTACTTGGTTGTTGAATGATACCTCTTGGGGTCCAACCGTTGAATCTTTTTACTCATTTAGAGTGTAATGAAAGGGTGCATTATATATATATAATTTGTTTGCACTCTGATCATAAATAACACATATTATTCAAAATTTCAAAAATTCTGAAGTGTTGTAAAACTTTGAGAATTTACATATTGCATGAAACATTGTTTAGAACTTTCATACTCATCATTGTTTTAACAAATATTGAGCACTAGATCTGACTATAAACTTCTTATTAAATCTTGTCTTAGTATCTTGATAATCATAGTGTTATTCAAGAATTGATCATGCTTTGTAAAAATCAGATTTTGTATAAGATTAACCTTGCATTCCAGGATTGTTGGAGCAAGTGTGTGCATTAAAGAGGATTGTTCTTCTTGAACTTAGGGTTGAAGATCTTAAATGTTTTAAGAGTCTTTGATCTCCTTATATATTAGATAGTAAGGCATCACCTTTTGTATGATTAGGCTTATGCAGCCATTCTAAACTATAGTGAAATCTCTTCCGTGTTGGCAAGAGGACTGGAGTACTCTCGATCTATGAGGGAAACCAGTATACATTTGATGTTCATTTACTTTCCATACTTTATTGCTTTCATCACCATAATCATAAAAATAAGAACTTTAAAAAGAAGGCAAAAATTGACCATCACCTAATTCACCCCCCCCCCCCCCCCTCTTAGGCGCATTATTAACTTACACATAGCACACATTTCACCATGGATAACACGTGTTGATGGTTCAAGAGAGAAGAACATCTGCATCAAAGAAAAACTAGTCTTAAGCAAGAGAAAAGCTACAAGCATAAACTATTTACATACACACATACATAAATAATGTGTGTGCCTACAGACAGACATTTTTTCATTAGATTATGCAACCACATAAAGACAACAGTTTCATCATGTTTTATAATGAATCATACCTAATGGAAAAGAATTTTAAGTTTTAAATATTTTGTATCTTACCCCCCCTTTTATTTCAATTTCAACAACAACTTTTCAATTATAAAACAAATTGTTTTCTCATCTTACAATTAACATTATTATCGTATCATGTCTCTCAAACCGTCAATTTCCTTGTACAATACGATGCTTCCTTTGTAGGATCCTCCCAAAAGCCAACCTAATGACAAAATTTTCAAAGGCTCTACCATGACCAAACATGGTGCCTACGCTGCCATCTCTTACATGTCTTACACCGGTAATTACCTATTAACCAACTTTCTTGTGGTTTTTCTTGTAATTGTTCATAAAAATGTATTAAAAAAAATTGTTTTTAACAGAAAAATTTATATGGAATTTAGAAAAGATTTATTTTAATTTTGTTTGTCCATGTGTTGTTGTTGTTATTATTGCAGTTATATTGGTGATGTTCAATAAGGCTGCTCCTTCATCTTATAACTTTCCATGTGCAAATGTTATCTCACTTCTTTAGGTTCGTAATTTCACTACTTTTAGTTTTATAACAATGTTTAGTTCTAAATTATATGCTTCCAATGATGAAGCTAATCGAAAGGGTGAAAAGTTCAAACAAAATATAATTATGAGGATGCTTTTGTTTATACCTCAGCAAAGAATCAAAACTACAAAACAAAATTCAGAGAAGAATCTTTTGACTTACTTTGACTTTAGTTCTATCTTAACACCCACACATACACCATAGTTTGCTTCAAAAGATGTTGCAATCCTTCTTTTAGTAACATAACTGTCACCTACACAAAACTGCAAAACAAAGTGATGTTATCTGATAATTGATGTGAAAATTATTGTTTTTAAAGTTATTTAAAGGGGATTTAAAACCCCCATAACCTGTATCTTTTTATTTAGTGTTGACTTTAACTGAAGTGGCGTGACATGTGGCATGCCATGTAAGCCTCCGTTAGTGGAATCTAACGGAAGAGACCAAAAATAGGGACAAATTTTTTTTGAGGACCAGTGTTTGAAGAAAATTTTTATAGAGATTAAAATTGAAGATTGTCATATTTATAGGGACTAAAAACATATTCAACCCTACCTTTTATTGAAATATGTCTTAAAACTTTTGTTGATGAAGAGAAAGAAAACATATTTTGGAGATTGTATAACCAACAAAAATCGGAAGTTCTAAAAAGTTGGTCAAAAAGTCAAAAAATTGAAACTGGGTAAAAAATCGAGTTAGAGTGGTCAGAGCTGTGGCAGATCTCTGACGAACACGGTGGCGGCGGTCAGAATCGCGAAGTTCAGAAACCAATGGTGGCGGAAGCATCCGAAAACATGATGGCTCCTGTGGTGACTGATCGGGAAGTGGCGACGATAAGAGGTTTTTCGATGGGCGAAGGTAGAGCACGGCGATGCCGGCCGGTCTATATGGTGGTGGGTTAATGGTCCATACGACAGGAGGAGGTGGTCAGCAGCGTCTCTACAATCAGAGCTGGGCGGTCTGCGGTAGTCTGTATGATCGTACGACGAGTCAGTCAGTTTCAGG